GTTTCCAAAATGCAGCATCCTTTATTTCCCACAATGCAACTCAACAGCACAACTTTCATTAGACCCCTTCTGTCTGCTTTACACCCTCGTCTTTCAAACTGCACACTCCCCACATAGCCTCCCTGTTATTTGTAGTCTCCAGACCCTTGCCAACATCATCAGTTTCTTTTTTTTATTGCAGAATGATCACACCTCTGTGCTTCTGAGTGTTCATCGGAGAGCTTCCTCTCACTTGTGGATTATTTCAGACGAGATCCTGTATCACAGATCTGATGTATAGGACTGTCGTGTAGCTCGATATGCGTCAGATTAGTGTTTTCAGGCGTCTTATACCCTTCTGCATTGGTTGCTGTGAAAACGACCTAGATGTGTGTGTATGTACTCAAACTGGTAGTGTGATATTTGTTCTCTAACATAGAACAACAAGCTGCCATCTCGATGGAAATGTGTCTCTCAGTCCCTCGATGAAACAGACACCATCAGTGACCATTGATACACTTTATGTTTCATGCTAATTGTGGCTAGCTAGCTGCACTCTGGTTATCACTGTTGTTGTTGTGATGCAAGAGAGGTTTCAAATGCAACTGAGTCATATTTAACCTTATCTTTTATTGAGACATAATTAATATTTTAGGTTTTTGTGAAGGTTTTTCTTGTTTCTTCTTTCAAGGGAACGTCAGACTTACACCCTGTTTACATCATTTCGAACTGTGAGCAACCAAGTGTGAACTCAAACCATAGCCTGTGTAAAACATGGGAATGCTTTCTGTTAATTCACCCGTAGGTTTCTGAGGATCTTTAGTGCAACTGTAAATAGGGGAATCTGGTCATCGCCATCTTGGATAATAAAAAAAATTGGAAAACAGATACACACAAACAGGAAGTGCACGGCAGGCCTGGGTGACCTGTTAGTGACCTGTGACATTACCCACCTGTAAGTCAAAGCAACCATGCACTTAATTATGCATAACTATAAGCGTATATATGTTATTCATGGTGAGTTATATCCAATTTCACCCCTACACTCGCCATGAATGGGGAAAATGTGCTATAGTGACCATTACCACTCGCATTTCACGATGTAAATATGCGGCATGATGGGCATATTTAGAATTTACTTCTTTCAGAGCCATCTTCAAGTTGCCAGTCGAAGAAGGGCATTTTCTTTAGAGCTTACGCATTAATTCAACCACAGAGATAGCTGCTTATGTGTTCCTTAAATATAGCAAAAACTAAGGCTGACTCGTTTGGCATCACGAGGCAGTTTATCAGACAACTTTTTCATGCAGCAGTGCTCAACAAACACCTTTAGACCCCATTTACACAGGAACGTTTGCGTTTACGCACCGAATTCGTTTTCAAAAAAGTCTTCTGTTCACACGCATTCGGCTCATTTAACGTGTCCGTTCACTCGAGACCACTGGAAACGCTGTAGTACATATGCCGGGCCTGTAAGTGGCGTTGTACTTCTGCACGAGACCGCTCGAAAGCGCTGGACACGCTGTAGTACATATGCTGGGACTGTAAGAGGCGTAGTAACTTCCGCCACAAAATACACCAAAAGCAGCGAAGAAGACCCCCGAGCATGGTTGCCATGGTTGCCCTTCTGTTTATGCCCCGCGTGGATTTAGCAACATGTAGTTCATGTAATTCTCCATGTTCACTTGTTGCTGATGGTTGTGGTAGAGGAGCTGTAGATTGTGCACTAACATCTGTAGCATGGTCAGTAGCAGTAGCATGGTCTGTAGCTACTGACAGTAGCTACTGACCATGCTACAGCAGTGAGCAGCAGAGGCGGGGCTATGGCTCATCGTTATCAGGAAAATGATCGTATAGGGCGTACACACTGAGCCGTTTGGCCCCCAGAGCGTTCCGGTTGCAGATCTATCCACCTTGGGACCCGTTATCGTTTGCGGGGTCCGTTTCCGCGTTTCCGTTACGGCCTCGTGTGAACGAACGGGCTAAACAAAAGAGAAAAGTTGCAGATACAACCGTTTGCGTTATTTTGTAAACAGCACATTAAACTAACTGTGACGTAAACATTTAGGGCGTTCCTCTTTAACTCTCGCTAATGCCTCAAGACACAACTGATTCACTCTAAAGGTGCATTCACATTACTAGCAGTAAAACAGCTCTGTGCTGACGTTGCCATTTACTTTTTGACCTGCAACCAATCAGATTAAAGCTGTATGTGGCACCAACAGTGGACATAATCATAGAAACAAAACTTGCTGTTTTACCCCTATGTTTTTACTGTGGCCAAAATCACGCTGTAAGCAAAGAGCAAATCACGTATCATGCAGCTTTAATGCTAACGAACGTACAGGAATGCATCCATTCAGGCCAATTGGAAGCCTTTGAAATGGAAATTGTCAACAGGTTTACCATCTAAGTCTATCTATTCAACAACTTCAAATACATTTGACCTAAAGTACATTTATTTGGAATTGTATTCGTGTTAATTCTGAAAACAACTTCATAAAAAAACATGTATAATATTTGGTTCCCTACTGTGAGTCTTTCCGTGGGAAGAGTAACGCCTGAATCCTTCCAGGTCTGATTAACGAGGGATTACCTCACATGGCTGGATCCAGTTCAGCCATCTTGAATATTCCAATTTGTTGTAACCTTATCACCGGCTGGATTTGTGCCTTGGCTTCAGGTTAGCTTTTGCAATCTCACTGTTTGCATAGTCCGATGTTTCTCCGTCACAACAACCCGTCGATCATAATTGATGTCACTTAAACTTTGATGGACGCTTGATAAGACACTAATGAGTGTTAAAACATGACATGAAATTAACCCGCACTTCATTATGCTTGGTTTAATGAAAGGAGCTGTAGGTTTGGAGAAGGTCCCCGCACACAGGGAGCTGGGGGAGAGTAACTATGCAACCTAATTAAAAGTTTCAACTTGGAGGCCTGCTGGTTGCCAATGACTTCAGATGATGCTGGTGGGCTTACTGTTGATCTCAAGCTGTTCGAGCAGTTAATTAAAAAAAAAAACAATGTGGCGAACCAAATCGGTTACAGATTGCAATTAATGCACACTGGGTTTGGGGGACGGGGGACGGGGGGGACAGGGGGGGGGCAGCCTTCTTAGTTACCTAGGGTCAGCCTATAGGAAAGCCGGCCCTTTTATTTGTTTGTCATCCGTTTTCATAAGCTGTTTTTAACAACAAACCAAGCGATAAGCAATCATGTGCACGAGAAATAAAAAAATAAAAGCTGCGCCTCTTGGGAAAAGCCTTACTGTTGCTATGACAACCTACCCATTGCACACTGAAACGAGGGTGGGGGGGTGGGTTATTTTGAAGGACAGTCTTGTGTTTATATTCAACCCACCGTCCCTTTATTCCTGAGTTGATCAGAGGTGTGACAGGTGGATAAAGCGTGGCGAGAAAACGGAAAAAGACAGACAGAAAAGGAGGAAAATTGGAAGGGAAAGAGATGTGAAGCTTTAGAGGATGAACTGCTGAGTGTTAAATCACAGCTGGGTAATTTAACAGCCGCTACATTTGCTCTTAGATTTCGTCCCTGTGACCTCCTTGAAACACACGTCTGACTTTGTGCAGTGACAGGGATCCAGGGGGCGTTTGAGGTGATGCAGTCTGAGATGTAGTCACGTCACGAACTGACTTCCTCCCTTGTGCCTCCTCTAAACCTTACGTAGGCAGGAGAAGTGGGTTACATGCAGGAAACAAAGCTCCTGTGGGATGACAAAGGGAAAAAAACAACAGCGGCGCATCAAAAGGACAAGAGAGGGAAGTTGAGACATGAAAGACATGGTGTCAGTCGGCTTCCTCTAGACTCCACATCTGAGTGAGGAGGAGGAGGAGGTGTTCTGTTCACAGTGAAGTTACACGAGGGCAAAGTGATGGAGCGTTAAAGGGAAAGGTGCATTATTTGTTGTCACAATACTACGTTGTGCACATGTGCTACCACTTCCATTAGGAGGAAAGGGCTGCAGATTCAGAAACAATGCAAATATAAAAAGACAAATGTGCCAAAACACATGCAAATGAAGGTTTTGGGCCGTTATTGCACGTTAGTACCATACTGTACTGCAAAAGTATTTTATACATTTTTATATGTGACAATCTAGAATTTTCACTGAGCAATTATTGCTGAAAAAAGATGAGATGGACATGTAGCTCCAAGGCTGGATGATTTATTTTAATGAGAGTACTAAGTCTACTAAAACTAATCTGACAAGCAGAAGTAATATTTTCAGCAGCATATCAAGGTTATTCTAACAGTACATCAAGTTGGGTGTTGTTGTAAGATCTTTGGACCATGGATGATCATGGATAGCCTTGAACTGGTTATCCACCGAGGCATTTCTAAGGTTAAACCTGTCGGTCTTAATTGACAGTATTAATTGACAGTCTATAGGTTACTTTAACATGTAAACCAACAGACAGACTCCACACAGACAGAAATATGTGAACTTACTTTGCACCCCTGCTGATGAGTTGTTTCCTGCCCACTGAAGCATCTTTTCTGTAGCTGTTTACATCTTGTGTGTCGACTCTAATCCAACAGAAAATGCTGAATTTCCGGCACAACTTAATCATTTCCCTTCATAACCTTCTTCAATTCTCTCTCATTTGTGTCTACTGATTAATGGACACTTCCCCCCCCCCCGTTTTCCTCTTTATTATATATTTATTTTTTGTCTTTGTATTGTTTAATTATTATTCTTTATACTTTTTATGTTGTATCTATTGTAGTTTTGTCTGCACAACACTCTCTTATATTTTGGCTACATCTTCTGTTTTGGTTATAATTGTGGTTCAAATATTGTGCGCCTTCAAGTGAAGATCAACTATATGGCTTGTCAATTGATGTACAATAGTAGAGACTAAGCTGAAAACTAGTGGCTTTGAACTGTTCAATCTAACCTATCAATGTACCAAATGTATTTTATATGTGTCTTCAATAAGAAAATATAATTATCATTTCCCTTCATGTCTCCTCCAGGGCCCTGAGTGGGGGGGGGCGGACCTTCCCCAGCAGAGGAGCCTTCAGCCTCGAACTGATCCCACTCTCCCACAGCTCACCTTCCCAGTTACGACCCTCCCCCTCCTGACTCCCAGCTCTCCCACTCCTCCATCTTCTTCCTCCAGACCTTCCCTGGCTGCGGCCCCCTCCCTCGGTGAGTCTTGTGGTGGAGATTCTTGATATTAACTAGTCAAAGAGATGTCTTTCTGGTTCTTTAATCTTTTGCAAAAGAGGCAAACAACATGAAGAGCAATGTCTCCACAGCCGAGTGCAACTACTCACTGAAGAGAGCTTTTATACAATGAATACATGCTTAGTCATGAGACAACTGACCCCTGACCCTATCAGAGTACAATAGACCCCTGACCAGATCACTGATCACCAGAGATGGCAAAAGTACACACATCCTTTACTCAAGTAGAAGTACAGATACTCGTGTTTAAAAATACTCTGGTAAAAGTAGAAGTACTGACTAAACTTCTTTACTCAAGTAAAAGTAAAGAAGTATGGGCTTTGAAATGTACTTCAGTAAAAAGTACCCATAACTAGCAGCTGTTTTAAAGAGTACCTGACCTCCCTTTATATTAATAGAACAATAATGTCATTGTTAGCTAATGAATGTTTCCATGCTGAACAACGGCAACATGACAACGTTTTCATTGGTCCCTCTTCTTTAGAGAAGACCAGGAAATGATGGATACACGGATCGTGTTCAAATCAATAGGCACGCAATGACTCTAAATAATAATGATCACGCCACCAAACACACATTCAAACTAAAGGAACCAGCCTGTTTGGAAAATGTAAGAAGTAGAAAGTTCAGGTATTTGTGTTCAAAATGTAAGAAGTAAAAGTAAAAAGTCATCAGAAAAGTAAGTAGTGGAGTAAAGTACTGATACCAGAAAAATGTACTTAAGTACAGTAACGAAGTATTTGGACTCCACTACTTCCCACCTCTGCTGATCACCCACTGTGTGGTCACATGACACCTTGTGACTGATCACCTCCTGAGTGACATGTAAAGCTGGCTACACACCAACCCGATTTTGGGAGTCAGAGGCCGTCAGAGGCAGTCGGGCATTCGCGGCGCCCTACTCAGGTTGGTGTGTCCCGCACCGTCGTCTCTTTACGGCACCTTTTCACACCTCCCGATGCCTCCCGGGAGGTCAGAGAAAGTCGGCCCAAGCAATCACTCTGATTGGCTGTTCACACTACCGCTGCCTGCTGGTAAGGACAGTCGTCGACTGAAGTATTTGCGGTGTGTTCGTAGGCGGGCGGCGTAGTGGGCGGCGTAGCCGACGCAGGCGACGTAGCTGACGTAAAAGTCGGGACGCCTTCGATAGGCGTTCTTTGGTCCCAGGTGGGTGTGTAGCGGCCTTAAAGGCCAGGCCGCTACACACCCACCTGAGACCAAAGAACGCCGCCCGCCTACGAACACACCGCAAATACTTCAGTCGACGAGTGGCAATAACTGTCCTTACCAGCAGGCAGCGGTAGTGTGAACAGCCAATCAGAGTGATTGCTTGGGCCGACTTTCTCTGACCTCCCGCGGCCGATTCAACATGTTGAATCGGCCGCGGGAGGTGTGAAAAGGTGCCGTAAAGAGACGACGGTGCGGGACACACCAACCTGAGTAGGGCGCCGCGAATGCCCGACTGCCTCTGACGGCCTCTGACTCCCAAAATCGGGTTGGTGTGTAGCTTAAGGCTTACAGAATTGTATTATGTATATGTTAAATATAACATCCTAGCATTACATTCTCTGATAATCCTGATTTCCTCCCAGTCTCCTCCGGGGGTCGAGGTCATGGCGGTGCCTTCGGCTCACGAGTTCCACTGGCAGAGTTTGTCTCGGCTGGCCAGCGGGCGTGTGTACCACTCCCTGTGTGAGGTGGGGGGGCAGATGTACATGCTGGGGGGCTGCGACGCCGTGGGGAGACCCTCCCCCGCCCTGGAGCTCTACTCCCCCGAGGTATAAGACTCTATCGCATGATAACATTGACACGTCTGTAGCTGATGTGTCACTGGAGAGACACTGAAAAACAACAACAAAGCATTATAGTGATAAACACACACACAGTCAAATTCTATTGTTTTTAAAATACTAAAACCTGGAAAACCAACAAGAAGGTTCCATCATTACAGTGACTGCATTTACATTTTCACTATTTAAAAATATATATATATAAACGCCCCCCCTAGACAGGGTTACTAATACTAAAAATAATAATAACATTTATTATAAAAGAAGAAGTAGAAGAAGAAGAAGAAGAAATACATACATTACAAATATATATAATTATTATTATTATAAAAATAAATAATTATAATAATACAAATAATAATAATTAATAATATTTAAGAAAACATGTAACAGCATTTCTCTTATAAAGCAAATGTTAAGGTATTTAAAGACACTTACAAAATTAATTGAAATATTTTTTAAAGGTCCCATGTCATGGCCATTTCTACTGATCATAATTCCATTGTTGAGGTCTACTAGAATAGATTTACATTGTTCAATGTTCCAAACCCACATTGGTTTCTCATACAGCATCTCTGTATAGTATGTGTATTCACTCTCTGTCCTAAACGGCTTGTTAGAGCTCCTGCCCCCCCCTCCCTATGAGCCCACTGTGCTCTGATTGGTCAGCTCGCCCACTCTGTTCTGATGAGTCCACCACCGTTAAAGCGGAACATCAGTGATTATGTGTTACAATGGTGTTAGCAACCAGAAAATGACACCAGTAATGACAAACAGATGAGAATGCTGCGTGGGGTCTGGGTGCCGTGTTGGCGGGACGTTGCAGGGCTCGCTGCTCCGCCCTTTGAGGCTCGAGGAGCGGACAGTGTGAGCTGAATTACTGGTGTCGTTTCCTGGTTGCTGAGTGGGGTCTGCGAGACAGCGAGACACGGCGAAACTCAGCATGAGCACACACACGTGAGTGTGTGGCGAACTGTGAGTGGAGATCCACTGAGCCGCGGCTGAGAAAAGATAAGGCTGAGTGAGTGTGTGTGAGGAGCTCCACGGATTGGTCCATTTGGAACTGGGTATCGTTACGTCACTATACTCAGGAAGAAAACAATGGACAAAGAGAAATGTCCAACGAGGCGTTGTGGGGCAGCATAGACAGCTCTTTTCTGTGTTAGAGTTTTACTCGCTACAGGGTGTACTTTGAGGGTTTTGACTCTGCAGACCGTTTACATGCAGAAAAAGCTTCATAACACACAAGGGGACGGGTAATAACCGGAAAAGCATGACATGGGACCTTTAAGAAATCATTAAAACAACAAACTTAAAATATACGAAACACAACAACAATTACCGATCAAAAGCAGAAGAAGTGAGTTTATATTTGCATTTTGAACATGGAGAGATCGGTGCAGTCGCGGATGTGTTTTGGGAGAGTGGGAGGGGGCCGCTATGGAACAAATATGAATAAGTATAATTGGAAACAAATGAGCTCTATATATAAAGCAAATCCCAGCGCTGAGGAGGGGCACAACTAAGAAATACAAATGTAAAACCAAGGGAAAGACCACCTTCAAGTAAATCTGTCCCAATGTCCCTGTCTGCTTTAAAAATGAAGTCAAATATTATTAAAAAAATCATGAACGTCATTACACAACAACAACAGATCAAAAGCCTTTCTGAAGAAGTTTTGAGTCTTGCTTTGTAATTTGAACATGGAGGTGCAGTAAGGGATGTGTTTCAGGAGAGTGGGAGGGGGAAAGTATAATTGGAAACAAATGAGCTCGATATATAAATCCCAGCGCTGAGGAGGGGCACAACTAAGAAATACAAATGTTAAACCAAGGAATGCTGCTCTGTCTGAATGTCCCCGTCTGCAGGGGGATCGATGGATGACTTTGCCCCAGATGCCCACCCCTCGAGCGGGGGCCGCTGTGGCAGTGCTGGGGAAACAGATCCTGGTGGTGGGAGGAGTGGGAGAGGACCAGAGCCCCCTGAAGGTGGTGGAGATGTTCAACATAGAGGAGGGGAAGTGGAGGAAGAGGAGCACGCTGAGGGAGGCCCTGATGGGGGTGTCCATCACTGTGAAAGGTATGGTAAGACATGTACACATATGTTTAATACATAGTTCAGTCAGACAACTCACGTGTTTCTTTAATATGTTTATTATAGCAGCATATAGTTTGAGTTTGGCGTCTAGGCTCGGGCCTCATCACTCCACAGATTTACAAAGAACATTGAGTGATGATTAGATAACTATCCCCCGAGCCTACAGGTGGAAGCTGGGGTGGAAGCTGGGGTGGAAGCTGGGGTGGAAGCTGGGGTGGAAGCTGGGGTGGAAGCTGGGGTGGAAGCTGGGGTGGAAGCTGGGGCGGAAGCTGGGGCGGAAGCTGGGGCGGAAGCTGGGGCGGAAGCTGGGGCGGAAGCTGGGGCGGAAGCTGGGGCGGAAGCTGGGGTGGAGCTGGGGTGGTGGTGGGCAGGCGAGCAGCAGCAACATGAAACACAGCAGCAGGAACATGAAACACAGCAGCAGGAACATGAAACACAGCAGCAGGAACATGAACGTAGCAGCAATAGCACGTGAACACAGCAGTGCAGCAGCAGCATAGCGAGGCAGAGGCAGGAAGGCCTGGCAGCTTCAATAGAGCGGCATGTTTAGGAGAATGTGTTTGGTTGGTTGTAAGAGGGATGAGGCGCGCCACGTGTTAATGTATCATTGGTGCTCGAGTTGACTGCCTGAACTAGCTCGCAGGCTTCGCCCCATTTGTACAACTGTGTGGTACCAAGGTGTTTGCAAAGTTGGCATAAATGAGACCAAAAAGGTGAGGATCTTTACAATTTGCTGTGTGGGGTGACAGTTATATTGGTTGGAAACAGAAGTCCTAAACACAAAGTCAAAGTCAACTTTATTGTCAATCTTTTAGTTTATGTGTACAGATAGAGATATCGAAATACCGTTTCCCACAATCCCGAATACAATAACAAAGATATATAAAAATATTTATATACCTATCAGGGTTCTTACGGTCATTGAAAACCTGGAAAAGTCATGGAAATTCAAAATGCTAATTCCAGGCCCTGGAAAAGTTATGGAAAACAATATTTTTCCCAAAGTTTTGGAAAAGTCATGGAAATGTAACTAAAGTTGCATCAAATATAATTTATATTTGATCTAATCGCCAAAATAGTAATACTATAATGATAATACATACTGTATCGTATAGGAATGAAACGTGAAATGTCATTTAACTGACGAGGTGTTTTGCTGCTGAGAGATTTGAGTTGCTTTAGCGTGTAGAAGCTAGTAAGCCTACTATTGGATTTGTTTTAGATAGGCACGACATGTTTCATATGCAGACCTTATTTTCCTGTTCCATGTTAAAATAAACTATTTTCAGTGGTATCGTTGAGAAAGAGTAATGTTTTTGGTCATGGAAAATTAGGTAAAGGTTATGGAGAAGTCATGGAAAAGTCATTGAAAATCATTGAAAATCATTGGTGAAAAAGTGTATGAACCCTGACCTATATATATATATATATACACACAATCAACAGACACATTTGTACATATGCACACATTAAGACATCAATAAAAGCACATACACATAAACATAAGAATCGCTAAATGTAAAACTCAAAGCAAACAATACTTAAAAAAAAACATATCTCCAACTCCAGACAGCTATCAGAGGAGAAGCTCTTCTAATGAGGAAATGTGTCCAAGACCGATCAGAGTATCTCATTTCAATACGTGACTTATTTAACTATTCCCAATGTCACATGCATAAAAACATCAAATGGGTTATTGATGATGCCAAATATGTTTTACGATGCAGCAGCAGATGTGTTACATTATTCAGCAGGACTGCATCAAAAGTAAAAGCAGAAGAAATACTGAAAATATCCAGAGCATTAGCTCACTTTTAATTTCAAGCCCTGTGTATTATATTATCTCTGGAGTTTAAAGAGGCCCTTTGTTCCCTTTCCTGCAGTGTGTTCTATAGGGTTTACATGCATGTTAATGGTCTGCAAAGGTTCCCTCATAAGGGAGTTCCTCTCCAACACATTGTACGTGATAGGCTAAGGGGCGGGACATCTCTAAGCGGTTGACCAATCACAACAGAGCCGGCCAGCTAACCAATCAGAGAGCAGACTGGGCTCTGGTTTCAGACAGAGGGTGAAAAGAGGTGCTGCAGCACAGGCAGTATGAGAAAAATAAAGAGCTTTTTGAACATTAAAGCATGGAGACATGTCAGAGTAGAGACACTACATACTGATATACACCTGAACATCAGCAGGAGAGGACTCTTTAAAGTAGAGACACTACATACTGATATACACCTGAACATCAGCAGGAGAGGACTCTTTAAAGTAGAGACACGACATACTGATATACACCTGAACATCAGCAGGAGAGGACTCTTTAAAGTAGAGACACTACATACTGATATACACCTGAACATCAGCAAGAGAGGACTCTTTAAAGTAGAGACACTACATACTGATATACACCTGAACATCAGCAGGAGAGGACTCTTTAAAGTAGAGACACTACATACTGATATACACCTGAACATCAGCAAGAGAGGACTCTTTAAAGTAGAGACACTACATACTGATATACACCTGAACATCAGCAGGAGAGGACTCTTTAAAGTAGAGACACTACATACTGATATACACCTGAACATCAGCAGGAGAGGACTCTTTAAAGTAGAGACACTACATACTGATATACACCTGGACATCAGCAGGAGAGGACTCTTTAAAGTAGAGACACTACATGCTGATATACACCTGAACATCAGCATGAGAGGACTCTTTAAAGTAGAGACACTACATACTGATATACACCTGAACATCAGCAGGAGAGGACTCTTTAAAGTAGAGACACTACATACTGATATACACCTGAACATCAGCAAGAGAGGACTCTTTAAAGTAGAGACACTACATACTGATATACACCTGAACATCAACAGGAGAGGACTCTTTAAAGTAGAGACACTACATACTGATATACACCTGAACATCAGCAGGAGAGGACTCTTTAAAGTAGAGACACTACATACTGATATACACCTGGACATCAGCAGGAGAGGACTCTTTAAAGTAGAGACACTACATGCTGATATACACCTGAACATCAGCATGAGAGGACTCTTTAAAGTAGAGACACTACATACTGATATACACCTGAACATCAGCAGGAGAGGACTCTTTAAAGTAGAGACACTACATACTGATATGAACCTGAACATCAGCAGGAGAGGACTCTTTAAAGTAGAGACACTACATACTGATATACACCTGATCATCAGCAGGAGAGGACTCTTTAAAGTAGAGACACTACATACTGATATACACCTGAACATCAGCAGGAGAGGACTCTTTAAAGTAGAGACACTACATACTGATATACACCTGATCATCAGCAGGAGAGGACTCTTTAAAGTAGAGACACTACATACTGATATACACCTGAACATCAGCAGGAGATGACTCTTTAAAGTAGAGACACTACATACTGATATACACCTGAACATCAGCAGGAGAGGACTCTTTAAAGTAGAGACACTACATACTGATATACACCTGAACATCAGCAGGAGAGGACTTTTTAAAGTAGAGACACTACATACTGATATACGCCTGAAAATCATCAGGAGAGGACTCTTTAAAGTAGAGACACTACATACTGATATACACCTGAACATCAGCAGGAGAGGACTCTTTAAAGTAGAGACACTACATACTGATATACACCTGAACATCAGCAGGAGAGGACTCTTTAAAGTAGAGACACTACATACTGATATGAACCTGAACATCAGCAGGAGAGGACTCTTTAAAGTAGAGACACTACATACTGATATACACCTGATCATCAGCAGGAGAGGACTCTTTAAAGTAGAGACACTACATACTGATATACACCTGAACATCAGCAGGAGAGGACTCTTTAAAGTAGAGACACTACATACTGATATACACCTGATCATCAGCAGGAGAGGACTCTTTAAAGTAGAGACACTACATACTGATATACACCTGAACATCAGCAGGAGATGACTCTTTAAAGTAGAGACACTACATACTGATATACACCTGAACATCAGCAGGAGAGGACTCTTTAAAGTAGAGACACTACATACTGATATACACCTGAACATCAGCAGGAGAGGACTTTTTAAAGTAGAGACACTACATACTGATATACGCCTGAACATCATCAGGAGAGGACTCTTTAAAGTAGAGACACTACATACTGATATACACCTGAACATCAGCAGGAGAGGACTCTTTAAAGTAGAGACACTACATACTGATATACACCTGAACATCAGCAGGAGAGGACTCTTTAAAGTAGAGACACTACATACTGATATACACCTGGACATCAGCAGGAGAGGACTCTTTAAAGTAGAGACACTACATGCTGATATACACCTGAACATCAGCATGAGAGGACTCTTTAAAGTAGAGACACTACATACTGATATACACCTGGACATCAGCAGGAGAGGACTCTTTAAAGTAGAGACACTACATGCTGATATACACCTGAACATCAGCATGAGAGGACTCTTTAAAGTAGAGACACTACATACTGATATACACCTGAACATCAGCAGGAGAGGACTCTTTAAAGTAGAGACACTACATACTGATATACACCTGATCATCAGAAGGAGAGGACTCTTTAAAATAGAGACACTACATACTGATATACACCTGAACATCAGCAGGAGAGGACTCTTTAAAGTAGAGACACTACATACTGATATACACCTGATCATCAGCAGGAGAGGACTCTTTAAAGTAGAGACACTACATACTGATATACACCTGAACATCAGCAGGAGATGACTCTTTAAAGTAGAGACACTACATACTGATATACACCTGAACATCAGCAGGAGAGGACTCTTTAAAGTAGAGACACTACATACTGATATACACCTGAACATCAGCAGGAGAGGACTCTTTAAAGTAGAGACACTACATACTGATATACACCTGATCATCAGCAGGAGAGGACTCTTAAAGTAGAGACACTACATACTGATATACACCTGAACATCAGCAGGAGAGGACTCTTTAAAGTAGAGACACTACATACTGATATACACCTGATCATCAGCAGGAGAGGACTCTTTAAAGTAGAGACACTACATACTGATATACACCTGAACATCAGCAGGAGAGGACTCTTTAAAGTAGAGACATTACATACTGATATGAACCTGAACATCAGCAGGAGAGGACTCTTTAAAGTAGAGACACTACATACTGATATGAACCTGAACATCAGCAGGAGAGGACTCTTTAAAGTAGAGACACTACATACTGATATACACCTGATCATCAGCAGGAGAGGACTCTTTAAAGTAGAGACACTACATACTGATATACACCTGAACATCAGCAGGAGAGGACTCTTTAAAGTAGAGACACTACATACTGATATACACCTGATCATCAGCAGGAGAGGACTCTTTAAAGTAGAGACACTACATACTGATATACACCTGAACATCAGCAGGAGATGACTCTTTAAAGTAGAGACACTACATACTGATATACACCTGAACATCAGCAGGAGAGGACTCTTTAAAGTAGAGACACTACATACTGATATACACCTGAACATCAGCAGGAGAGGACTTTTTAAAGTAGAGACACTACATACTGATATACGCCTGAACATCATCAGGAGAGGACTCTTTAAAGTAGAGACACTACATACTGATATACACCTGAACATCAGCAGGAGAGGACTCTTTAAAGTAGAGACACTACATACTGATATACACCTGAACATCAGCAGGAGAGGACTCTTTAAAGTAGAGACACTACATACTGATATGAACCTGAACATCAGCAGGAGAGGACTCTTTAAAGTAGAGACACTACATACTGATATACACCTGATCATCAGCAGGAGAGGACTCTTTAAAGTAGAGACACTACATACTGATATACACCTGAACATCAGCAGGAGAGGACTCTTTAAAGTAGAGACACTACATACTGATATACACCTGATCATCAGCAGGAGAGGACTCTTTAAAGTAGAGACACTACATACTGATATACACCTGAACATCAGCAGGAGATGACTCTTTAAAGTAGAGACACTACATACTGATATACACCTGAACATCAGCAGGAGAGGACTCTTTAAAGTAGAGACACTACATACTGATATACACCTGAACATCAGCAGGAGAGGACTTTTTAAAGTAGAGACACTACATACTGATATACGCCTGAACATCATCAGGAGAGGACTCTTTAAAGTAGAGACACTACATACTGATATACACCTGAACATCAGCAGGAGAGGACTCTTTAAAGTAGAGACACTACATACTGATATACACCTGAACATCAGCAGGAGAGGACTCTTTAAAGTAGAGACACTACATACTGATATACACCTGGACATCAGCAGGAGAGGACTCTTTAAAGTAGAGACACTACATGCTGATATACACCTGAACATCAGCATGAGAGGACTCTTTAAAGTAGAGACACTACATACTGATATACACCTGGACATCAGCAGGAGAGGACTCTTTAAAGTAGAGACACTACATGCTGATATACACCTGAACATCAGCATGAGAGGACTCTTTAAAGTAGAGACACTACATACTGATATACACCTGAACATCAGCAGGAGAGGACTCTTTAAAGTAGAGACACTACATACTGATATACACCTGATCATCAGCAGGAGAGGACTCTTTAAAATAGAGACACTACATACTGATATACACCTGAACATCAGCAGGAGAGGACTCTTTAAAGTAGAGACACTACATACTGATATACACCTGATCATCAGCAGGAGAGGACTCTTTAAAGTAGAGACACTACATACTGATATACACCTGAACATCAGCAGGAGATGACTCTTTAAAGTAGAGACACTACATACTGATATACACCTGAACATCAGCAGGAGAGGACTCTTTAAAGTAGAGACACTACATACTGATATACACCTGAACATCAGCAGGAGAGGACTCTTTAAAGTAGAGACACTACATACTGATATACACCTGATCATCAGCAGGAGAGGACTCTTTAAAGTAGAGACACTACATACTGATATACACCTGAACATCAGCAGGAGAGGACTCTTTAAAGTAGAGACACTACATACTGATATACACCTGATCATCAGCAGGAGAGGACTCTTTAAAGTAGAGACACTACATACTGATATACACCTGAACATCAGCAGGAGAGGACTCTTTAAAGTAGAGACATTACATACTGATATGAACCTGAACATCAGCAGGAGAGGACTCTTTAAAGTAGAGACACTACATACTGATATACACCTGATCATCAGCAGGAGAGGACTCTTTAAAGTAGAGACACTACATACTGATATACACCTGAACATCAGCAGGAGAGGACTCTTTAAAGTAGAGACACTACATACTGATATACACCTGATCATCAGCAGGAGAGGACTCTTTAAAGTAGAGACACTACATACTGATATACACCTGAACATCAGCAGGAGAGGACTCTTTAAAGTAGAGACACTACATACTGATATACACCTGATCATCAGCAGGAGAGGACTCTTTAAAGTAGAGACACTACATACTGATATACACCTGAACATCAGCAGGAGATGACTCTTTAAAGTAGAGACACTACATACTGATATACACCTGAACATCAGCAGGAGAGGACTCTTTAAAGTAGAGACACTACATACTGATATACACCTGAACATCAGCAGGAGAGGACTCTTTAAAGTAGAGACACTACATACTGATATACACCTGAACATCAGCAGGAGAGGACTCTTTAAAGTAGAGACACTACATACTGATATACACCTGAACATCAGCAGGAGAGGACTCTTTAAAGTAGAGACACTACATACTGATATACACCTGAACATCAGCAGGAGAGGACTCTTTAAAGTAGAGACACTACATACTGATATACACCTGAACATCAGCAGGAGAGGACTCTTTAAAGTAGAGACACTACATACTGATATACACCTGAACATCAGCAGAATATGTCCTGTTTAATTATAATGTGTTATGTTTAGTGACTTCTCCATTACTTGAAATACTTTTAAACTGGTATACAGTGACTTTAACCAACCTGACGTTAAAGGTATCAAAGATTAGTTTGTGATATGTTTCTCATATCATAATTCTACTGTAAGGTGTGTGTCTGTATTCTCAGAAGATGAATGTCTTTCTGATATTGTGATGGACTCCACGGTGATCATTTCGAACACATTGCACGAACAACACTACAAACAACTGTTGAATCAACTTAAATTGTAGCCAAGAAGTCTTGGTCAGCTTTCCAAATCGATCTCAAAGGAGCCATGTTTTGTGTTGTGAGCTCACGATTATTCTCACAGTTTGCAGTCAGAGAGCGTGTCTTCTGCTGTGGATGTGTGTGTGTTCAGCGCTGCATCTGTCATGTCTGCTGGAACACAGATAGATGCTGCGTACACACACTTATTGGCCGCGTAAAAACCACTCTCTCAATCTCTATCACCGGTCTTCCATTCTTGTCCTTTTTCTCACCGCTTCATCCCCAAACAGACAAATAGTCTGACAAAAGTGATCGATAGGACCCAATTATAACTAATCTGGTATTTCAGAATGGATAGTCAGTTACAGATTTGGCCTAATGATGCAATTTTTGTTGACATTTGTAGAATCATTATTTTCCCGATATAGGATAATGAGCTTTTGGTAATGGGTTTATTCCATTTAGTTATTTATGCAACGTAGATGCATCGAGGTTGAGAAAAAATGAATCAAGAAAAACACAATAAAACACACAATGTTCCCCTGCAGCTCTTCTTCTCTTCTCTTTTATTTCTCCCTCGTGTCAACACCCTCTCCCACTTCAATTCTTATGCTGGAGGTGTTATGCCGAAGTGCCAGACGCGGACTCCTGCGTTTTTATTATTCTGCTGCCGTACGAGCTGTCCTTCCCGTGTCTGTCACACTCTTCTGCCTTGTCACAAACTTCTCAGCCAACTCTCCAAGCTTTGCAGATTTCTAACACTACATAAAACAAAGTGCCAAGGAGGTGTTTCCATCTCGTCTTTCACGAGTTAATTGTTGTTGATCTTGCTGTTATTGTTGATCAAACTCATTTTAAAGAGGACATATTTTGCTCATTTTCAGGTTCATATTAGTATTTTCTTTTGTGCCTCTACAGTAACCTGTTTACATGCTTTAATGTTCGAAAGTGCTGGAGAGAAACTCCCTCTGGAGGGAACATAGGGATTTTAGCCTTTGCAGACCATTTGCATGCACAAAAACCTATAGAAAACACTACAGGGAAGGGAAAACCCCCCAAAAGCACAATAGGGCCTTATTAACGAAGTTGTGATGTGAAAATAATTCACTTTTTTCAATTAAATCCATAAAATCCTTGCTTTTATTGAACATTGCTTGCTCATGGGATGCATTATGAATACATGAAGCACTTAAATGGACAATCTGGCTATCTCTGTGTGTGTGTGTGTGTGTGTGTGTGTGTGTGTGTGTGTGTGTGTGTGTGTGTGTGTGTGTGTGTGTGTGTGTGTGTGTGTGTGTGTGTGTGTGTGTGTGTGTGTGTGTGTGTATAGACGGCCGTGCCCTGGCAGTGGGGGGGATGGGTGCTGACCTGCTCCCTCGCAGCATCCTGCAGCAGTACGACCTTCGAAAGGACGTTTGGGCGCTGCTTCCTCCGATGCCCACCGCGCGCTACGATGCTAACACACACCTGCTGGCTAACAAGCTCTACGTGGCAGGTACACACATCCCAGTGTGGGGGGTTTTATTAAAGGTCCCCTATTATACTGTTTTCATCATTATATTATAGTTCTCAGATATATACAGAACATGTCTCTGAAGTGTTTGGCTGAAACACCAAACAGATCATTGTAGCATCCCATAATCCCCTCTGTTTCAGCCCTGTTTCAAAAGTGCTGATTCTCTGTCTGTTACTTTAGATCAAGGGTCTCCAACACGTCGATCGGGCAGCTTTTCAGTAACTCGCCGCTCGCGGTTCACAGACTGTGTAGAAAAAATCCGACGACAATAAATGCACCTGAATCAGTCCGTGTCGCTGCGGCTCAGACACACATGGATTTATGTTTAAAAAAATACTCGCGTTAGCACCATGTCAGGTTTTTGGTGGATTTAATCAAGTCTTGGATTGCAGAGTATGAATGTCCTCTTGCTATTTTCAGTTGATAAATACTTGTGTAAACTTTGTGAAGGCAGGAGGAAAGCTTCCGCGATCACCGTCTCACATCACATGAACAAGTGGATTTTGCATAATAGGTGACCTTTAAACAATATGGGTGTTGATCATTAACAAGTATTCCTCAAAATGTCAATACCATTTTATTTTTATTTTCCGTACAATTTTTCAGGCGGCCGCCAGTGTAAGCGACCAGTTAAGGCCTTCGAGGTGTTTGATGCAGAGACGCGCTCTTGGACTACGTTACCCAGCATGCCTTGTAAACGTTCATATGGGGGCGTGCTATGGGACGTAACCGGGAGGTTGTGTCTGCTCGGAGGACTGCGGCAGGGAGGACACCAGAGCTCAAAGTTCACCAAGAACGTCAACATCTTTGACACCAACCAAGGTACGAAAACACGTCTCTTTATCGTGTATCATTTCATAATAGCAGAAGAGGGAGAAGTACTCAGATCTTGTACTTGAGTAAAAGTAGAAATACTCAGATCTTGTACTTGAGTAAAAGTAGAAATACTCAGATCTTGTACTTGAGTAAAAGTAGAAGTACTCAGATCTTGTACTTGAGTAAAAGTAGAAATACTCAGATCTTGTACTTGAGTAAAAGTAGAAGTACTCAGATCTTGTACTTGAGTAAAAGTAGAAATACTCAGATCTTGTACTTGAGTAAAAGTAGAAATACTCAGATCTTGTACTTGAGTAAAAGTAGAAATACTCAGATCTTGTACTTGAGTAAAAGTAGAAATACTCAGATCTTGTACTTGAGTAAAAGTAGAAGTACTCAGGTCTTGTACTTGAGTAAAAGTAGAAGTACCAGAGTGTAGGAATACTCTGTTACAGTAAAAGTCCTGCATTCAAAATGTTACTCAAGTAAAAGTAGAAAAGTATTATATCATCAAATATAGTTAAAGTAGCGACAGTAAAAGTAGTCATTGTGCAGATTGGTCCATTTCAGAATAATAGATATGATATGTTTTATAATGATTGATCATGAAAGTGTTCTCAAAGCTGGTAAAGGAGCAGCTAGTTTGAATGACTTTGTATACTGCAGGGTAGCTTGTGAATTTACTCCAGGTGGAACTAAAGTCTGATTTAACACTTGATTACATTTTACACATATTCCCTCTACATTCGTTGGACTGAGCCCAGAGCGACAGATTGGAGGCGGGGCTTAAGGAAAACTCAAGCACACATTTTCTATGGGCCCGATAAGACTCTGGTTGATCCGGGTACTTTTCAGATCTACAGTCAATCCATTTTGGGCTTTACGCTCCACTGAGCAACTTTCCTCAGACACTTTAATGACCTCAAAACTTGGAATAAATCCGCAACTATCTGCATCGTTACATGAAGAACTGATAATTTGTTCTCAGTAATTTGCATAAGCTGACCTTTTTACAATTGTTCCGAGGCCATTTTTCATGCTATGTTAATTTTCTGTTCCACACTCCATTCTTTGTGTGTTTTGTTTTTGCATCTTCACTTGTTGCCACCTGCCCACAGCGCCAACACACCAGCTAACAGGCGTGTGTTGACTGATTGCATGACAGTGTGTGTGTGTGTCTGTGTATGTGTGTGTGTGGACAGAGTACCTGATGTAAAACACACACATGCTTTGTGACAAAGGGTTGTTAAGATACTGTGAACTTTTCCAAATATGTCAGAATTAATAGCATGGAAATATGCGTAAAACACTCCAGCTGGAACTGCAGTTACAACAAATGCCATCTTGACTTATTTCGCTGACTTTAAGCAGGATGTGACTTTAGTGAGGAGTTGGAAGACTCTCAGGAGGCGATGAAGCATTTACATAATACTGCTTTTTATGCAGCTCTGTACCTTAGACTGTAAATGATCAGGTTTTTTGGTTCATGTTGAAAAGATGACGCTTGCATATTTTAGAGAGGATTTTTACCCCTGAAACTCCCCAAAGAAGGAAGTGTAGGTATGGTTTTACATTTAAGGAAATATTCACGTCTGCTTTTTTGCAGAGGGAGAAGAGATTGAGAGATTAAATTGAACTTTATTGTCATAATACTTGCAAACATCAACATAGTTTGGTAAGATTAGCATATAGAGTGAAAGCAAGAGGAAACAGCAACCTGACTTTTAAAAAAAATGCCTACGAGCAACTCTTTATTTGATTTGCACAATTGTTCCTGCTTGTTAAACTCATACATATACAGAAATGTAAAAATTATAATTTGTGATTCTGGGTAGATATTTATTGATGAACAACAGTCCTGATATGGTGCGGTAGTGGGCGGTTAAACAGGCCGGATGCAGAACATTAAAGAGGAACTCTTCGTGTAGGTCTTAGGGTGAACTACTTCATATTATGTGATTTTAATTATTGTATAAAGCCCGATTAATGGCCTCAAGTGAGGTCAAATCTCATGTGACACTGCATTGGTTAGATCCTATTGGGTAGAAAGCAACACTGAGCAATCAAGGGGCCAAAAACTCAAATGGAGTTTAAAAAACGACATATTGTCAGTACATGTAAACTTTATTAAAACGAGTTTAAATTAAGTATGAAATAGTACACAACTGTTTAAAATACTTCAAATATATGAATGCAAGTCCACACCATGTTCATCTTGGATCCCAGGTGTTTGTCATGTAATCAACAGGTTGGAAGTAAGTCTGTTAAAATGATGCAGCGTCAGACATGTAATAATAAAAGCATGCCATGAATGATTATCAATGTGAAACTGAAACATGTCAAAAATCACACAAAATATTTAAACATTAAAGCGTTCCATAAAATCTAACTAAAAATTAAAGTATAAACACACACTATATAACACATACAATAAATAAACCAAATAAAATACTTCACCATGTGACACTAGCATAACACACATTAATTTCACACCTTTGTCCAGGTGCATTGTGGGTATTGTGGAGCCAGGTTGTGATAGGCTAAGGGGCGGGACATCTCTAAGCAGTTGCCCAATCACAACAGAGCCGGCCAGCTAACTAATCAGAGCAGACTGGGCTCTGGTTTCAGACAGAGGGTGAAAAGAGGTGCTTGTCAGGACCTTGACACAAACTGATGAACCCAAATGCACGACCCAGACAAAGTCTTGAATGTAATAAAAAAGTGTATTTATTTTTAACAGATCAGGTAATCCCTCTTAACACTAGAACCGCCAGGGGTCGCTGTATACCTAAAACCGCCAACGGGTAAAATGTACCCGCTATTAGAATGCATTGATTTTCAAGGAACAATGTTCTTTTATTTATCATACTAGAACACAGGGTTAAGAGTGAGTTTTGATCGCACAGTGATGAAACTTATACCAATAGAATCTGTGGACTCTCAGCTTTTCATATTTTTATATTTCATGCAGATTGCATGAAGTATAAAAGATCGCTATCGTGAGTTATGTGCAAAGTGTCTCTCTATCTCTCTATAACTATTTATCGATCTATCTATAACTATCTATCTCTCTATCTCTCTCTCTATCTATCTATCCATCTATCTATAAGGAACCGCAGTAAACAACAGGCGTTGCTATAGCAACACGTCCTGTTCATGTTTTCGCGCGAGATCAATAGCGCGAAAATCACTGCATTTTCTACAAGGTAAATATTACCCGCTGCCGCTAATGGGTATAAATGGCCATTTTTGGGGCCATTTTTTCAATCTGACTTCATATTGACCATTTTTAACAACAGAGGGTGCTACATAACACACTTTCAGGAAAAGTCACGGACTGGGAGACTTGAATATTTTATTGAAAAAAAGTTACATAGAATCAAGAAACAGCTGCGGGTAAAATGTACCCGTTGGCGGTTCTAGTGTTAACAGAGTAGGTAGTGGAAATAACAAAAAGCGCTCACAAGGAGGAAAAAACTAGCGTAACAAAAAGAGGACTTAATAAAAACTTAAGCCTAACAAAATAAACAAACATAACAAAACCTGACATGAGTGAAAGCGACCCTTTCAGAGCTGAGGCTTGGCACGACCATTCGGGGAAACAAACAAGACTAACTGACACACACAGGGGGAGGAAGAAAACAGGGCCTGAAATGAAAGACAAGAGGTACAAGTACAAAATAAAACAGGAAATGACAGACAAAATACATGAACATAACTAACACATTTGACGAGACACAACAGTGCTGCAGCACAGGCAGTATGAGAAAAATAAAGAGCTTTTTGAACATTAAAGCATGGAGACATGTCACAGGAGAGCAGGGGTGTCAAACTCAAATACACAGTGGGCCAACATTTTAAAATAGGTACCAGTCGAGGGCTGGACTGGTTCAATGTTTATTGCAAAACTTATTGAAATGAACTTATTGCACATATTAAACCTGGAACTAACAAATCTTAAATGATTGCCTATAAAAACAACATTAAACATTAAATAATCAGTTGCATTCATTGCTTATGGCTCTATCTGCAGCTTTTCCCGAGTCATTTCTTATGATTACATTTCTCCACAGGCCAACAACAGCTTCAAAAAAACTATTTCCCTCAAAGAAAAAACAAACCCTGTTGAAAGAAAGTGCAGAAGGAAACATCCATGTAAACTCAGTGTGCTGCTCTGTGATGCTAGCTCAAGCCAGATACTTGGCATCTCATCTTGGGTGCAAGTTCATCAATGTTTGGGCTCAGGCTCTGAGCTGAGGAGACCCTCAGGGTTGAGTGAAGGTGTGCGTGCAATATACCGGCGGGCCAGATCTAATAGTAATTAGAGATTATCCTGCGGGCCGAAATTAAATCCACCAAGGGCCTGATTTATCCCCCGGGCCTTGAGTTTGACACATGTGCAGTAGAGGAACAAAATACTAATATGAAGCTGAAAATGAGAAGAATAAATCACGAGTATTGACGCACAAAAATACATCTCTAAATTATCCTATCTCACTCGCTATGCTTATCCTATAAAATTGTAAATTAAAAGCCCTGTTTATCAAGTTTTCAATCAGTAAATAGATGCTTGTCAGTGTAGAAAGAGATAAGGACGCATTAAATCTCTTTCTTATTAACAGCAGACACTTAGCTGTCAGACAAAGCATCTGTTCACATTAACCTCAGCATGATACATGGTGTTCCACCCAAACAGGCTCTCATCCTAATTCTGTGCACGCACTGAGTCCCACAACACGCTGAAATGACTTCTCCGTCTGCCCTGCAAAGGCACCCCCAAAAGTAACAGGTGAACAAATTGAGGAGGGACCGGAAGGAGAAATTGGTAGAGCAAGAATCGATAAGTCATTTCAGACAGATGGAGATACGGTCACACGTCGGGAGAGGTTATTTGGAAAGCCAAATAAATAAAAGCAGAATGTGGGAGTGATAATGTTAATGTATGATAATGCTGTTGAAAGTTTGCCTTGTGTAGGAGACAGAGAGGGAAAGAATGCCTCACACTA